GGTGCCGTCGTCTCCGGCGGCTGCAACAGCTCCGCGATCGCGGCTTTGGCGGCGGTGCCGGCGGGCTGGGCTGCATGGTGCGGACCCCGGCGCGCGGTCCGGGTTGCTGGGGCGGCGCGTGTAAGGATCCGAGGGGTGCGAGAGCTGGGTCCGAGACAGAGGGTAGGGGTCAGGGGTCAGAGGGCGCGGAGTAAGGGTTGGGGCTGGCTCCTGGGTGTGGGAGGCGGGAGAACTGGCCAGAGGGGCCGCGAGGGAATCTCCTCCGCCCGCTGTGCCACTAGCCCAGGCTGGGGCTTTGCACTCGGTGTCCTCGCCCCCGGCTTTCTGGAACGACCCCCACGTGGGGGCCCTGATCGCGGAGGGGAGCACGTGGAGCTGGGGCGGCAGCTTTGCGTTTGACTCTCTGGTCCGCTCACCTCCCCCGCGCACTCAGGTGACCCCGACGAAAACTCGTGCCTGGGTCGTACTTCTTCAGCGGCCCGTGAGCTGACAACTGCCCCTCTGTCTCTGGGCCCATTCCCCAGGGATGACCTTCTGGGTCTTGTATAGAAGAAGCCAAGTCCCCGCGAGGAGCCTTGGGCTAGGACTCAGGAGTCCTGGGTTCCAGCTTTGCCCCTGCACTGTGTGACCTTGGGCAAGTCTCTTACCCTCTCTGGGCCTCATGTGTCTCTCTCTGTAAAATGATGGTTTTCATTAAGAATGCAGGAACTGGCCTTGGGAATAGGATAATGGCTAAGCGGGGCGGGGGGGCCCCTGAATTCAGACTACCTGGGTTGAAATGTGGGCTCTAGCTCTTCCTCTGTTTACTTACAAGCAGCAAGTTAACCACTTGAAGTCTGTAATGTAGACATATTGGCTAAGGATTTCTCTACAGCAGCTCTGTGGACTTTTGGAGGCACATTCGTTTTCTGTTGGGGGGGAGTCTCAATAGCCCAGTTCCCCCATTCTCAAGTTGTGACAATCAAAAATATCTTCAGGCATTGCCGGTGTTCCCTGGGGGGGACACAGTCACCCCACCTGGGAGCCTCTGAACTAAGACAGTGCATGCCAGCAAACAGTCGTTAGTAAATAGTTAAAACATAAAAAGCACTAGCCATGTTGATACTGTGATAAAGAAACCTCTTCTTGATGAGTTGAGAGGATTCAAAGATTGTTTTTTCCTGCCTTCAAAATAAATACCAGAGATGATTGTCAAAACCGAGTAATGGACACGAAGAAGTTCGTTTCTGGATATTCGGTACTTTGGAGTATGTTTGAAAATATCCGTGGTAAAAAGTTAAATGACCAAAACCCATAATTCTTAAGACAGCCCAGGGATAGCTTGTCATCTGGGATTTCTTCTCTAGTCTCCTCGCTACGGAGGTTGAAGAGTGCACTAAATCCCTAGAAAAAAAGAAAGTCTTGTCGCAGGAAGTTTGCTGGGCAGAGGGCTGCAGGCTTAGCAGCCAGTAGGACTGCGTTTCCTTTGGTTATTTTATCTTAGAAGGATGTGCAGGGATCAGAGTTATTCTGATGATCGTGAAAGGGGTAAATTCCCCATTTTTCATTCGGTGGGTCAGTCCCACCAAGTGAGAGGGAGGCCAGGTTGATTGAGCGCAGAGGCCACCGCTGGAGGAAGAAATCTGCTGCTTTGTTCTAGTTCAAAGGTCTGCCCTCACATCTGCTGAGTCGCTGCTTTTCTCTGGGTCCTTCTAAGCGGAAACTGGAATGTGTATAAATAGGAACCCTAACAGACTGGCTCAGAGTGCTTTAAATGGGGAGCAAAGGATGAACCCTTCTGCCCTGTGACTCAGGACATCATTTGGAAAAATATTCCTGTCCCTTTCTTCTTCAGACACCTAAGTCTGGGAGAATAATGCCTAGTGAAGAATGATATGGGGGTCAGCAAGTGGAGTAGTGGTTTGAAGTGCCGGACTCTCACATGATCAAGGGCAGTTCAAGTCCCAGATCCGGTGGCTTAAAACTCAACATGGGGTGTGTGTGCGTGCGTGCCCAAGATCCTGAGAGCAGAATGGAGGAGAAGGGACTGTGGCGTGGCTATTCCTCCTGGGGGGTGATTTCTCGCTTTCTCTCTCTCTCTGTCTCTCTGGAGAGCATACACGAGCATACACGCTCTATAGCAAAAAATCTCTCTTAAGAAGAAAAAAGAAGGACACGACGTTGTCTCCCAGCAGCTCAAGTAAAAGATGGTAAAAAGGAAAAAGATGGGCAAATACAAACAACCTGACATGCTGATTCTTTTTTTCTCTTTTTCTTTTTCTTTTTGGTTTAGTTTTAATTTGTTATAGGATGCATGCACTTGCTAAAGAGAGACAGAGAACAGACAGAAATAGTGAGAAAGCCCCCTCCCTGGGGTAGAGCAGTGCCACAGTCTCTTTTCCTGGATTCTCCTTTAAAGATTTTGGGCACACAAATGCATGCACCCAACTGTGTTTTTCTTTTTTGGGGGAGGGTTTTGCTTTAGGGCGTGTGCACTCGCCAGAAAGACAGAGCGAGACAGAGAGGCAGAAAGCAAGAAATCACCCCCCCAGTGGGGATGGCCACACCACAATCCCTTCTCCATTCTCCTCTTGGGATCTTGGGCACGTATGCACACGCACCCAGTATGAGTTTAAACCACCGGCTCCTGGACTTGAACCACAGTTGACTATGTGGGAGTCCAGTGACATAGCCATTACACCAACGGCTGGTTCCCCAACTCTGTTTTTCAAGCTGCCAGGTCCAGGACTTGAACTGTGCCATCATCCATGTGGAATCCAGCTGCCTTAAACACACCACCAGCTGGCTCTGACTCTTCTTTTATGGGTCATCAAAGCGGTTTACAACCTAAATACCATGACCAGGGCTTGTAGAGGAATTATAGTGCAGAGACTAGGAACACAGGTCTGGAAGTCAGATTGCATAGTTCAAAGTTTGGCTTTGTAGCTGTGGGTTCTTGGGCAAGTTACTTAAAGTCTCTGTGTCTGAAGTCTGCTCTGGATCAGAGAAGAAATAATTCTATCTCATGGGGCCATTATGAAGTTTCGACTTTGACCTACAAATGGCTGATAAGGTCCCTGGTGCAGAGGACGCACTAATTGAACATTTATTCCAGGTTCAGCATCCCTAATCTGAAAGCCAGAATTCAAAAAATTTTTTTGCTTAAAGAATTATTAATTGAATTTTATTTCTTCTTCAATTTGACCAGAGAGAGAGAGAGACAAAGAGAAAGCAAGCCACGACGTCTGGGACTCGAACTGCAGTTGGCCATGTTAGAGTCCAGCACCTTAACCAGCATGCCACCTGCCAGCCTCCCCATCCCAATTTTTTTTTAATTTACGTTTTTTGTGAGATTTTTTTACTATAGGGCACATGTGCTTGCTGGAGAGACAGAGAGACAGTAAGTGAGAAATCACCCTCCAGGAGGATGGCCACGCCACAATCCCATCTCCATTCTCCTCCTGGGTTTTTGGGCACGTATGCACACAAGGCTGGTATGAGTTTCAAGCCACCAGGTCTGGGACTCGAACTCCAGTCAGCTATATGGGAGTTCAGTGCCTTAACTACTACACTACTAGCTGGCTCCCTCCCAATAAAAAAAAAAAAACAAACTTAATTTTATTTACTATTATTGTTTTCAATTTACCAGAGGTTGGAGGAGTGAGAAAGCAAGCTGCCAGATCTGGGACTCCAATCACAGTTGGCCACGAGAAACTCCAGTTCCTTAACCACAACGCCAACTCCTGGCCCCACAGGTTCTGCAGTCCTAATCCAAAAACCCAGAATTCAAATTTTTTTAAGCGCCTACATAATGACACAAAGAGAAAATTCCCCTCCTGAGAAAAAAAAAGGAAGAAAGAAAGAAAAATTCCCCACCTGGCTCCCCACAATGAGTCATATTCTAAATGCTATGATATAAAAATATTATATAAAGTGACCTCAGGTTACATGTATAAGGGGTAGATGGAACATAAATGACTTTCATGTTTATTTTTAAAAGAATTATTTTTCCAATTTTATTGATTATTCCTATTTTTAAAAAATTGGACCAGAGAGAGAGGGAGGGAACATGAGAGCAAGCCTCCAGGTCTGGGACTTGAACTGCCGTTGGCCATGTGAGAGTCCAGCACCTTTACCACCATGCCAGCTGCTGGTCCCCAAATTTCATGTTTAGTCCCATGTCCAAGTTATTTATTTATTTATTTATTTGGAGAGATTTTTTTGCTATAGGGCGCGTGTGCTCACCAGACAGAGACAGAGACAGACATAGAGACAGAAAGCGAGAAATCACCCCCCAGGGGGGATGGTCACGCCACAATCCCTTCTCCTCCATTCTCCTCTCGGGATCCTGGGCACGCATGCACACGCGCCCGGCGTGAGTTTTAAGCCACCGGGTCCGGGACGCGAACTGCGGTCGACTATGTGGGAGTCCAGCGACACAGCCATTATGCTAACTGCTGGTTCCCCTTCCAAGTTATTTATTGTGTATGTGGAAATATTTTCAATCTGAAAAAAAATAATCCAAAATCCAAAACACTTGTAGTCCCGAGCATTTCAATGAAGGGATATTCAATGTGTACTTTTTTTTTTTTGGAGAGGTTTTTGCTATAGGGCATGTGCACTCGCCAGACAGACAGACAGAGACAGAGAGACAGAAAGCGAGAAATCACCCCCAGGGGGGATGGCCACGCCGCAATCCCTTCTCCTCCATTCTCCTCTCGGGATCTTGGGCACGCACGCACATGCGCCTGGCGTCAGTTTATGCCACCAGGTCCGGGACTCGAACCATGGTCGACTACATGGGAATCCAGCAACATAGCCATTACACAAACTACTGGTCCCCAACCTATACTATTTTCATGGTTATACTTTTTTCTTCTCTTTAATATCTTTGCAAAGCTCACACCAATTTGTGTCATTCTGAGAAGTTAGTGGTTGGGCGAGTCGGTTTTTGGTATGGCCATCGGAGAGTGTATTGACGTAAACCTAGATGGGGGCCTGCTACCCACGTAGGCTATGTTGTGTAGCTGATGCCCCCACTGCCGTGTGTGTGTGTTTGTGTGTGTGTGTGTGTGTGTGTTCTACCATTGACAGAAATGTGTCCCGCCTGACTCCGAGGTATAATGGGGTGGAGGTGGGACACATTAGCTCTTACTCTCCAGTAATAATTACCCCTAGCTTTTCCATATTTGTCCTTACTCCTTCCCCCCCATCTTTTTTTAAAAATAATTATTTCTTTGATATTATTTATCTGTGTGTGTGTGTGTGTGTGTGTGTGTAGGTTTTGACCTTAGGGTGCGTGCGCTCACCAGAAAGAGAGACAGAGACAAGAGACAGACAGAGAGTGAGAAAGCAAGCCTTCAGGTTTGAGAATTGAACCACAGACAGCCCTGTGGGAGTCCAGTGTCTTAACCACCACACCATATGCCCCTCCATATCTTAATTCTATTATACCGTATTAACTTTTTTTAAAAATAATTATTTAATTTTATTTATTCACTCATTTATTTTAATTTGATCAGAGAGAGAGAGAGAGAGAGGGAAAGTGAGAAAGCAAGCCACCAGGTCCAGTACTCAAACCACGGTCGGCCATGTGGGAGTTTCCAGCACCTTAACCATCACGCCACCTGCTGGTCCCAACTTTTAAAAATTAAGGTATAATTCATGTACCACAAAATTCATCATTTTAAAGAGTATAACTCAGTGCCGTTTAGCATCTTCACAAAGTTGTAAACTGTTCCCACTGCCAGAGCATTTTCATTAGTGACGGAATTTTTTTTTTTTGAGAGGTTTTCGCTATAGGGCGCGTGCGCTCGCCAGCCAGACAGAGACAGACAGAGAGACAGAAAGCGAGAAATCACCCCCCAGGGGGAATGGCCACGCTGCAATCCCTTCTCCTCCATTCTCCTCTCGGGATCTTGGGCATGCACGCACATGCGCCCGGCGTGAGTTTAAGCCACCGGGTCCGCGGTTGACTACATGGGAGTCCAGCGATATAGCTATTACGCTAACTGCTGGTCCCAACGGAATGTTTTTTAACATTTAAAAAAGTTATTTATTTATTTATTTATTTTTTGGAGAGGTTTTTGCTATAGGGTGCATGCGCTTGCCAGAAAGAGAGAGAGAGACAGAAAGTGAGAAATCACCCCCTGGGGGGATGGTCACGCTGCAATCCCTTCTCCTCCATTCTCCTCTCGGGATCTTGGGCATGCACGCACATGCGCCCGGCGTGAGTTTAAGCCACCGGGTCCGCGGTTGACTACATGGGAGTCCAGCGATATAGCTATTACGCTAACTGCTGGTCCCAAAAGTTATTGTTATTTTTTAATTTGACCAGAGAGAGACAAGTTTTCTCTCCATCTCTCCCATGAGCACACGCGCCCTCTTGCACTCACAGGAGCAAGGGAGAGAGACAGAAAGTGAGAAATTGCCCCCACTGGGGGGCGAGGGGCTGGCCATGCTGCAGTCCCTTCTCCTCCATTATCTTCTTGGGGTCTTGGGAACACATGCATACATGCCCGGTGTGATTTTTAAGCCACTGGGTCTAGGACTTGAACCACATCTGCTGGTATCGAAAAATATTAACTTTTTTAAAATAAGGAGCCACATGCTTTTAAAATTTTTAAATTATTTTATTCATTTATTATTACTTGTTAGTTTGACCCAAGAGAGAGAGAGAGAGAGAGAGACAGAGAGAGAGAGGGAGGGAAAGTGAGAAAGCAAGCCACCAGGTCCAGGACTCGAACCATGGTCAAGCATGTGGGAATCCAGCGCCTTAACCACCCCACCACCTGCCGGCCCCCTCAAAATATAATAATTGTCTTTCTGTTTTTGTCTCCAACCCTTAGAAGATGCCTCTAATGGAGGAGTGTCTAGGAAGCACCTCTGGGCCAGTGGCTTTGCAAAGGAGCTCACAGCAGAGACTGTTCAAGACCCTGGACATCACATCCTGAGGGCCACAGAGAGAACATGGCCGTGAGTTTAGATGACGACGTGCCCCTCATCCTGACCTTGGACGAGGGCAGCAGTGCCCCGCTGGCTCCCTCCAACGACTTGGGCCACGAGGAGCTGCCTAGCAAAAGTAAGACGAGAGATGGGCCGGGGGTCACGACTTACTTGTTGCGGGTACCCTGTCACCTGACCCCACATTTAAGGGCCAAGTTCTTCTTTAACTTTTTTTTTTTTTTTTTTTTTTTTAATTGTCAGAGGATTTTTGCACTCATCAGAGACAGAGAAAGGGAGAAGGTGAGGAAGAAAATGCCCCTCCATGGGGCATGGTTATGCTGCAGTCCCTTCTTCCTTTTTCCATCTTGTTGGGATTTGGGGCATAGACACACATGCACCCAGAGTGTTTTTCAAGCCTCTGGGGCCAGGATTCAAACTACGATCAGCCAGGCCACATGGGCTGATCCTGTAATAAATGTTCACATGGGCCGAGGTGCATGGAACCCCCATGGCCTAGTGCATAGTTCAAGTCCTGGATCTGGCTGCTTGAGGGGCATGCCAGACACCTACGGACGTGTGCCCAAAATTCAAAGAGGAGAATGGAGAAGGGACTGTGGTGTGGCCATCCCTCTGGGGACGATTTCTCACTTTCTCTCTGTCTCTCCAGCGAGCGCCCGTGTGCTATAACAAAAATCTCTCTTAAAAAAAAAAGTAAACAGAGGGGACCAGCAGTTAGTGGAATGGCTATGTCGCTGGACTCCCATGTTGTCGACCGCGGTTCAAGTCCCAGACCCAGTGGCTTAAAACCCACGCCGGGCGTGTATGCTTGCATCCCCAAGATCCCGGGAGGAGAATGGAGGAGAAGGGATTGTGGCATGGCCATCCCCCCAGGGGGGGATTTCTCGCTTTCTGTCTCTCTGTCTCTGTCTGTCTGGTGGGGGCACGCACCCTGTAGCAAAAACCTCTCCAAAAAAAAAAAAATAAAAAAATAAACAGAGACCAGCCGATGGTATAATGGTTACATCACTGGACTTCCACATTGGCTGACTGTGGTTGGAATCTGGAACACAGCAGCTTGAAATGCCGGGCGTGTGTGTGTGCATACCTGAAGTCCCAAGAGGAGAATGGAGAAGGGATTGCAGCATGGTCACCACCCCTGGGGGATCCTTTCTTGCTTGCTTTCTGTCTGTCTGTCCAGCAAGCACATGTGCCCTGTAGCAAAAATCTCTCTGAAGAAAGAAAGAAACAAACAAACAAATGGGGTCAACCATATGGGATCTCGCGTCTGTTAACCACTACGTCACAGGGCGACCTATGCCCCAAGTTCCGATGCAGAAACTCCTCCTGGGCGACTGGGCATAGCCCAGCTGTGCAATGTTTCTGGGGCCCTCCTGGCCCTCCTGGAGTCCTGGCAGCCCTCAACCACTGCACCCGAGCTCTGTCCTGGAAGCTTGGCGGGGACCTCAGGCAAACCTGCTCCTTGGCCAAGTTCCCTGCTTCTTTCCTTGCTAAAAAATTAAAAAAAAAAAAAAAAAATCAAGTTTCTCTGTATTAACGCACATGCTCTATGACAAAAACCTAAAATAAATAAATAAATAGATAGATGGAAAGAAAGGAAGGAAGGAAGGAAGGAAGAAAGAGAGAAAGGAAGAAACCAGGGTCAGCAGATGGCACAATGGTTACATCGTTGGACTCCCACATAGATGACTGTGGTTCGAGTCCTGGAGCCGGCAGCTTAAAACTCATGCTGGGTTTATGTGCATGTGTGCCCAAAATCCCAAAAGAAGAATGGAGAAGGGATTGAGGAATGGCCATCCCCCCAATGGGGTGATTTCTTACTTTCTGTCTCTTCTCTCTGGCCAGCGCATGCGTCCTTTAGCAAAAATCTCTTTTTGTTTTTTAAAGAATTATTTTATTTAACATTTATTTATTTTATTTTGGTCAGAAAGGGATAGAGCGAGCAAGAAAGACAGAGAGAAAAGAAAAAGCAAGCTCCCAGGTCTGGGACTTAAACTGTGGTTGGCAATGTGGGAGTCTAGCACCTTTAACCAACCACGCCACCTACCAGCCCCATAAAAATCTCTTTTAAAAAAAAAATTAGAAGAAGCCAATTTCAGTCCCAGCCTCCTCTGTCTCCGTGAAATCGTTGGCAGGAAAACAGCATGGGTGTTTCTTCTGCCCGGTCGAGTCCCCACGTTGCCCTGGATGGGATGGAGGGGGCGAGAACTCGTTGAGATCCATTGATTTGAGGGTTTGGGGTTTTGCTTTGTCTTCCTCTGAGCCTAGCACAAAGTGAACCCAAGAGAGGTGGCAAGCCTTAAATTTTTTACATTTTAAGTGTGTTTCTGGCAGAACGAGAGTCCTTAAAAACCTTTCTGGTCCTCGTCCCGAAGCCATTTGCTTCATTCGCTCAGGCCCCAGGCTTGGGAAAGGCTTAAAATAACTTGTCTTTTCTAGCAGGCCCTGAAATGGCCCTGTGATGTAGGGGGCCCTGAGATGTCAGGGACTGGTGCCTGAGGGTCTCCTTAGCAAGTGGAGGCTTTGCTGTCTTCAGTGTTGCTCCACCAGGCGGGGGTACAGCTCGCTGTTCCCAAGTGCGCTTGGGGCCAGGGAAGGATGCGCCTGGCTCACCCATCTGCTTGTCCAGAGAGGGCACAGGAGTGTGGCAGCCTCCCCTGGGAAGGGATGGAGAACAGTGTTCCTGGGGGCAGGAGCATGGACGGAGCCTTGGCTCTCTTGAAATGCACCCAGCTTTGCATCGACATTTGCCCCAACCCAGGGTGGCAGAGCTGGGTGCCCCAGCAGGGTCAGAACTTGAACCAGATCCTTCCCTAAGCGCCCCTCAGTGCTGAAAAAGCAGCTCTGATTTCAGGCCTTCATCTGTTTTCTTCCTGCCATCCCCTTCTAGGTAGGCCTATTATCCTTATCTCACAAGGGAGATACTTGTGGGTCCCAGAGGTTAAGGAACTTGCCCTGGGCCTGTGTGCCTTCTTGCTGGACTGGTCCCATTGCTTGCCCCAGCCCCCGGTGTCACACTGATTTCCGTCCACAAGGCCTTTCCTAGCCTCTTGTTTGCTCACGAACTAGGTTCCGTTTTGGAAATCCTGCTGATAACACCATTTCTTTGAAGCCTTCAGTGAACTTCCTCTTCCTGCCAGAGCTAATTGCTCACTGCCCTGTTCTGCTTGGTATCTGATGAGGCTCCCAGATCCCCAGGTCCCCGGTAGCTCACTGGGTGTTAAGAACTCTTTAACCACCTGACCACCTACAGAGCCCTGAGTTCCATCTGTCTTTGTATCACATAGCTCAGTTCTTAACAAATCCTGGTGCAGATAAACATAGTCGGGTGTTAAAGGGAAAACTTCAAGACAGTTGAATTTAGTGGAGTTTAACTGAGCAAAAGAAAACAGGATTCGAATTGGGGACCCCAGAACGGCACCCAGGGGATTCTGGGTACCCTTGTGGTCACACAATATTTAAGTTCCAGGAAGGAAAAGTGATGTACAAAAACAGAAGTGGTAGGAACAGCAGGTGACATGGTGGTTAAGGTGGCTAGATTTTCCACATGGCTGAGCACAGTTCAAGTCCCGGACCTGGCAGCTTGAAAAATCACACCAGGTATGTGTGGGTGTGTGTCTGAAATCCCAGAGGAGACTGGGGGAGAAGGGATTGTGGCATGGCCATCTCCCCAGGTGCTGATTTCTCACTTTTTCTCTCTGTCTCTCTCGTCTCCAACAAACACACATACCCCATGTCCAAAAAAAAAAAAAAAAAAAGGAAGTGGAGGAATGAGGTAGAGAAAGAACTGGATTGATCACATCTTTGTCTGAATTAAGTTGAAGGGGTGGGCTGTCTATGACTGACTGTCTATGACTGTCTATGATTGGCTGTAACTTAGCAACTTCCCCAAGGAAGCAGTTTTCGAAGTGAGGTCGCAGTTTGCTTATGGAAGCCAAAAAAGGAGTGCAGAGGCTTTTTCAGGGTAAGATACTATTTTTTTTATTTTGGAGAGGTTTTTGCTGTAGGGCGCATGCACTCGCCAGAAAGAGAGAGACAAAGAGACAGAAAGTGAGAAATCACCCCCACGGGGGGGGATGGCCCACGTAATCCCTTCTCTTCCATTCCCCTCTTGGGATTTTGGGCACGCATGTACATGTGCCCGGCATGAGTTTAATCCACCGGGTCCGGGACTCGAACTGCGGTCAACTACATGGGAGTTCAACAACACAGCCATTATGGCAACTGCTATGGGCAAGATACTTTAACATGGGTTTCTGGGGCCTTGCAGCTCATGGGAGTGATCTCCAAGGGCCCTAGACAGAGGAATGGATCCACTCCTGCCTCTTCTAACCTGTGGTTCGAGTCCCATTACCCCCAACATAGCTGCGTGTCTTGGCGATGCTGTTATTGACCTCAGCCTGTCGCTTCTGGAAGTCCTTGCGGTATTCAGGAGCTGGCAGAGTGCAGGTGGAGGCCGTTGGCAGAGTTGGCATCAGTGTGGGCCTGAGCTGCCGAGTCCGAGCGCACTTTCAAGGGCGTGGACCTTGGTCAGACTGGGCCTTTGTCTTGGCGCAGCCGTGGCTCTGGCTCCCGCTCTGGGTCTGGCTCTGGCTCTGTACCTGGACTTTCTTTGTACTGTTAAGTCATCGGAAAAGTCATGACTTTTTTATTTTTTCCAAGAATTATTTTATTTAACTTTATTTATTATTATTATCATTATTATTTTCCAATTTGATCAGAGAGGGACAGAGAGAGAGAGAGAGAGAGGAAGTGAGAAAGCAAGCCACCAGGTCCGAGACTTGAACCGTGGTCTGCCATGTGGGAGTCCAGCCGCCTTCCTGCTGCGTCCTCATATGATCGACCTTCAGTCATGTCTGTCCTTTTCCTACAAGAACATCAGTCCTTTGGGATCGGGGTTCCCCCGTCTGACCTCATCTTACTTTCATTACTTTTATGGTCTTCTCTCCAGATGCAGTCCATTCTGAGGTCCCCCGGGCTAGGACCCCAACACATAGGTTCTGGGGGGCGTGTAATTCAGCCCACATCACCCCTGCCCTTCCCTTACTTACAGGTTCCCAGGAATCTGGCTCTGCCCCCTGGAACCTTTAACCCCATGCTAGCGTCTAACCCCTGCAG